CATGTATTTAATTTTTTTTCTGTCATATTAAACACAAAGCGCAAACCCTTTAAACCAGATAGTTTAAACTTGAGATGTGAACAAAACTGTCTCATAAGTGCAAACTTGTTTGTGAAAAGTGAAAAATTGAAGCCTCACTCACTCAGACATGCATGAGCTGCATTATATCCACTGCACAAACCATATTTGCAGCGTTGTCTTCACAACTACAGGGTGTTTGCTGGTTAGCCCCATTTGTTAATGTCTTCAGTCAACCTATTGGCTATATTTGCAGCTGTCTGGCTTGAAGTAATCTTGAGTGCATCTTTCCTGCATTTGAATGTGAACGTCATGTACTAATCAATCTCATTCCCAAGACATCGATTTTGCAAAAATGTAAAGGAATAGATTCATAATCGATTGAATCGATTTTTTTACCCAGCCCTACTAACAAATTATTTGTCTGTCTGTCAATTTCTCATTGATACCAACCATGGCGGGGGACTGTATTGGTGAGACTTCCTTATTAATCATCCATTCATTTTTGTTTCTATTTAAACCCTTTCTTATTACAACGAGGTAAACTTCTTTTAACTGATAGAAAATAGAGAAGGTCTTCTTGGGCAGTATGTTTTGGGACGGCCTCTGCTTTGAACCTCTGAGGAATTTTACTGTAAGAGGTCTATAGATTGGAACTTATGGATTTTTACATATAATTTACAGTCATTAAATCAGTTAGTGAACCTTCATACACTGGAGATGAGTTTATTTTGAACTGATCATCTTTTCTGCCCAAATGCTCTGAAATTGTGCCCCTAAAGTACTAAGTGTAAAAGTTTATTTCTTCAGTCGGCCAGATGATTAAACCTAATCAGCTTGGGTAGTGTGTCTAGATAAACAGTATTAAAGCTGTTGTTAATGGGGCTTATAAATACTATGTCAACAATTTCATCTGCACTGCCATGACACAACATCAGCTCATCGTTGAAGATACATCTCATGTTTACACATGACAAGAAAACCCAATGGGGGCTACTAAAGCTAAATGATTGCTTTATGGCATGATTGCACGTCCACGTCCACACGACAAGGCTCAAATTTTCTGCTGAAACATCTGCACTGATTCCCTGACTGAGACTCATCAAAACAGAGTGCAGGAGGTAAATCAAGGGGAAAAGAGGCCGGACACTTTCTAAATGTTTTTTTTCTTTCATTCATTATGATGCCTGCTTGAAATATATCATCTCTTCACATATTTTCATTTGATTTTTTCCACACTGCAAGAAGCAAAACAGAAGGACAGGGCAGAAGAAGCTCAGCTGCTGTCCGACATCTTTCAGACACCGGAGCAAAATATTGCCAAGATTTTTGTCACTGCTTTAGCTGTCTCATTACCCGGCGTGGGCTTGCATCAGGAACTGAATAAAAATACACTCATTTTACAGTATAAACATACATATTTAAATCAAACACAGTCAAACTGCTTGATGCTCATCAATTTTAGTTTCAAACAGGGTTGCCTTAAAAAAGAATAATGAGTGGCATGTGTTTCAAAAAGTATGTCCTATTTACGTCTAAACTGGATCATGGTGTTTTCCCACCTGATAGTCTGGTTTATTCGGATTCATTGGGGACACAAACTGCAACATTTTAACTATTCTCATCTGTTGCGGCTTGCATTCAAAAGACATTTTTTCAAACTGAAACAAACCTCTGGATCCACCTGTTTATCCCATCGACTGTGGTGGTGCTGGAAGAACCACTATAAAAATGGTTGGTGAACAACACAAAACTGTTATAATGGCAGTTTAGCAATAATGAAAGCTTAGCAATAACACTAATAACCATAATGGCAGTGTTATTGCTAAGCTGTCTTTGGCAAGTTTGGCAGGTAAGTATTTTTCAATAATAAGCTCAGCATGAAATAAAAAAAAAAAGGCGGACGGCTGCAAAGATGGCCTCAAGGTAGAGGCGACCACGTGCGAAAAGCAGAACATTTGTACTAATGTCAAGACTGTACAAATGTGCAGCAAGGTACTTTTTAAGATATGAACAACCTCATTTGTATTATAACTACTACTGAAACAATGAATCGGATTATTCGTGATTAATCGATTATTAAAATAATCGTCAATTACTTTAGTCATCGATTAATCGTTAACTTGAGTATAGTGACTCTAAAACATGCCTTTAGGTGAGAGACACTCCACTTAGAGAAGTAATTATATGAAAATGTTAAAAAAATATATATGAGTGTATGTGTGTGTGTGTCTGTAAAAAATCTTCTCTAATGACTCTTATCTTTATCAAATTATTAAGCAATTAATCGAAAAATCCATCTACGGATGAAGAGATGAGTAATATAATCGTTAGTTGCAGCTCTACTTATTGCGCAATTACAGTACAATTACATCTTTTGGAGCCGTCTTTAGTCCGCTTTGCATTCACACTGCGGCCTTCCCTTCCACTTCACTTCAACTGATCTGAGAGCTGGGTTTTCAGGAGGACCTCAGTTCCCTTTATTGGTCCGCATCAGAATTCGATTGCGAATTCAAACCTCCCTAAACAAACCGAACTTTGTGGCATAGCAAACTATGGTCCGATTTAAGCAGACTAAACAGGGTAAGTATGTGGTTGCTGATTTCCAAATGTGTTGTATTGGAGCAAAAGGTTGAGAATTACCAACATAGAAATGAAGCAGGACAGGATAATCAAAATTCTAACTGAAATCAACATCTTGTTTAATTCTGTTAGTATGAAATATTTTCCAATCAACCGACCACATGAGTATAAAAATGTAATGTTTCATGAATGCAGGTAAGTTTTTCACCAACATTTATATCTTTTGTTGTTAGAGATTACATCAGGATGTCATGAGTTCAAAAATTCTGCATGTTGGCTTGAATAGATCTTCATCAGCACAGACAGAGCGTCTCCTTAGTGTTCCTTGGAATAAAGTAATGATGTCATTGCCTCATTCCTGTGACATTTAAATACTGCTTACATAAATGCAGGAGCAGTGGACCCTATGTAAGGCTAGAAAAGGTTTTTAAAAATTCCAACCTCTCTTTGCCTGAGAATAAATTGTATGTACCACAGATGCATATAAGTAACAAAGTGATACTGTATCTAACTGCCATTATTATATGGTAAACAACCTGTGCTTTAATAGCACATTATCAATTGCAAAGAGCTTAATACTGCTTTAAATTACTAACCCTTTCACACACTGACTAGCAGCACAATAAGTGTATTCTAAGTATCAGGTAGAGTATCACATTGTATGAAGGCCATAGTGGATTTTGATATTGTCTGGGGATCATAAGTGCCATTGTCTAAGAACTTTCTGAAGTATATGACAAGATGCCCCTCCCCCTTGTCTTGCTGGTTGGGAGATGTTACATGCCTTGTCCAGGATTGCACCGTATAATATCATAACCTTAAATTTTGATGATTTCCAAGCTCCATATTTTAAGCACATTCTAGAAATCAGAATAAGGTAGAAAAAAAATCGTAGTCACAATTATATCCTTATTCTAAGATTTGCAAATAATACTACTACTATTAGCACCTAGTAGCACAGCATGTAGGTCATTGGTGTAGAGAACTGTAGGCAGTGGATAGCAACAGGGTGGGGAGGGGCAGTTTTACACCAACTTATGCTCCATGCAGCCGAAACTTATGTTTCGGCTGCATGGAGCATCTGCAAACCACAGTGGCATCCCACTAAAAGCTTAGAACAACTATGAAGGATAATTTTAGCATCTTTAAGACATTTTTTTTAAAAGTATGATAACAATAATCTTTTCTTTGTTTAAATTTCAATTCTACAAAAATGTTTGTGTTCCTGCAGACTGTGACTTAAAAACAACTCACCAGAGCAAGGCCTTCATTCAGAACTTTGAGTTAGCATAATCCCTCTCTGTTCTTTTCCTCTTTTTGCTCGCTCATTCCTATACGTCCACACACGAGTGAGCAAAGTCGTCTCACACACCCACACTGATACACACACATTTGGAGTGACAGCACCATTCTGTAATTAAGCAATAAAACGCATCAGCAAACTGCTCAGAAGACCTCCACAGGGCACTTTATCTGGTCCTCACTGGCCTCTTGATTTACCCTTGATGATACCGCTTATGAACCATTTAAGCAGCCCTCAGTTGTGCCCGGCCCCCCCTGATCCAGAAGTCACCACATTAAGTAGCCACTCTATTTGCTCAAATGGTGGCATCTCACCAGATAATCGGCTGCGGACAGCAAGTGTGGCTATGTGGGAGGTGAGATGCTAACGGATGGTGTGTGGGAGAGTAATGTTTTATATTGGAGGAAGTGTGAGATCTCCATTAGAGACAAGTTTAATTGATAAACATGATAATAAAAAGCAGCAAATGGCCCGTTGGATGCTTTCTTTCAGCATAGCCAGGAGTGTGTCAGCACACACAATGGGTAATGGCACTGACACAAAGAGTATATTAAAAAAAAAAGAGCCTATAAAACATCATTAGATAATATGATCATTGTAGAGACATAAAAGAATAATAAAAACCCTTCCAATTAAGAAGAGAGAGAAAGCAGCGCTATCCTGAGGGATTCCTCAAATGTTTCTTCTCACAGTCCTCTTTCCTCTCACCTAATCTCCCCCTTTTCTCCCACAATCCGGAGGGTATTATTTGATCCTCATCGCGCTCCGTGATGGGAATGCTGACAACTGAACTGTCACAAGTGGCCACGTTTAATTTACATGCATAATAAGCGGCAACTAAGTGTGTGTGGGGGGGCGGGCGGGGGCTCGTCTTAAAAAAGGGGGTTTGAAAGGAGGAGAGGAAATATTGCTCTGACGCTTCAACATTTGTACATTAAACAACAACAGTAAATAGTTTATATGTGATCAATAAAAAAGAAAAAAGACGCACTTGGATCATTTGGCGTACACATGTTATTACCTGGTTAAAAATGTACAAATTTGTGCTTTAAAGATGTATAATAAAAACAACTTTAATGCAACAAAGTGTTCTCACCACAACATCCAGATCAGCGCTCGATGTACGGAGAATCCCGAGGAGTTTCCCTGCTCTTTCTGCGCCCCAAGTTGATCACAGCGGTCCGATGCGCTCCCACAGTCCCGACTGTGCGAGCTAGGGAGACAAGGAAATTCAGGTCAGCCCGATTATTATTGTTCTAAAGAAAACATCAATCTTAACACGTGTTTTAAGGTAAATAATTGGAGGTTATACCTCTTTAAAGGAGCTGGGACAGCCGCCGGGGAGTTAAAGGAGAACCGGTGGATGGAGCGGGCAAAGCAGCGGCTGTCAGATTTGACTCCAAACTAGTGCTGACGATGCGCACAGAGATAAGCGGCGGAGGAGAGAGAGATGGAGAGACGGAGAGGGAGGGAGAGAGAGGGAGAGAGAGAGGGGGGAGCTACGCTGAAGCAGAGGGGCAGCAGAGGGAGGCGATCCGCTGATTTTAACAATTCACCCCCTTCAAAGTTATACAAGTGGGTCAGCATGTGGACATCAGTCTGAACCCAGCAAATACCTGACTAGAGTATTCATCTTGCTCTGAATAGTCAAAAGCATAAATGCAGCTTCCATTTAACTTTAAATGGGGATGAAAACAAAGCATTAAAAAGGCAGGTGGTAGAAAAGAGCAGAATGAACTGACAAAATGTATCTGTAATGCTTTCATGCTTTCATAAAAGAAAATACTGTCTTTTGGACTTGTTCAAAATGTGTCTTTTTGCAAACAAAAAGATCAACTCAAATCACAACTCTTATTTCATTGATCCAGCTCTTTTGTATTTTGTCATTTTATCTAAGGGTGATTAAATTTGTCTCTGCTAAAGGATGCGTTTTATTATCTGTAAGCAAAAAAATAATAATAAAAAAATCAGAAAAGTTTATAAGAATAAAGAATGGATTTATTTGTATTTTGTCTCATCAGCGATCTCTATTAATAATAAACGTCCTGCCTTCATGATGCTTCCACTACCATGCTTTACCATTGGTATGACCTTGCATCTGCTCACTGAGCCTTGCTCCACTGGAGGCTTACTCCTGTTAAAAAGGAGTTTTCTATCTCCATTGTCACTGCATGCATGAATGAAATTTTGATTTCAGAAGTTGGGGGGAGATGCAAGTATTTTTTTATTTAACTAATGTCAGCGTCTTTGAACATCCAATCGCACATCCGATCAGAGCTGCTTAAGTCATTTTGAACAGTGGTTGCTGTGAAATTTTTATTGTTTTTTTTTTTTTTTTTTTTGGACAAAAGACCTATGAGCCTAAAGGCCTATTTAAATGCAATAACAATAAATAGATTAAGATTCACTACTTTATTGCCATATGCACTTCAGTGCATGCAACCAGAGTCTGTAACACACTGACATCATCAGCTCTGAGGTGAATATAAGTGCCACAGGTGCAACTTTCTAAAGGACTGGTGTGGACATGTCCCCACCAATAATTTCAATACATAGACTTTGGCTCTCAACAATATGAGGCACAAATCTCTAAATTTGATTTTGATGCTTTTGAAGGAGGATAATCACTGATGTAGCTGAAAGGGAAAAGATCCAATCAATCCCCATTTTTCTAGATAGATTAATGAATGGATGAATGAAACTGAAATTGTGTACATACTAGGGAGGCATGATATGTTGCTGTTGGCATCGGAATCGGCTGTTATTCATCATTTTTTTAAATACATTATTGTCAAACTACCCATAGATTTAAATATCAGTGTATTTTAGTTATTTTATTTTCTCAATAATAAGAAAGCATTCAATAAATATATGTCTGAGGTCAATTTTTTAAAATACAAACCCTAATGAAAGTGTTTGTGTCGAATAACTGTAGGTCCATCAGCCACCACCCTTAGAGTGTCCCCACCAACTTTCATCACAAAGTAACACCCTTGATATGCGCTATTAATTAAACTTCACAAAAACATGTCGATTTGCTCAGCTGGCATGAACCCGATTCATCGTGTTTATGTCACATGTGAGTCTATTAGATCTAAAATCCTTTTACGCAAGCCACAAGTAAATAATTATATTACTATACTATGTAATAGTTATTGAACAGTTCTCCACATCCATTACACAAAGAACACAAGGTCAAAATAACACTCTAAACTACTATGGTTAGGTTAAACTGCATGAATAGATATGAAAGTGCGTGGCCCCATGCTCTTTGAGCTTAAGGCAGGGTACCCTGCCTGGTTACAGGTGAGCAGACAAATCCAAAATGCATTTCTTTGCCATATTTCCTCCTCATTTCTGTCATTACACTATGTAAATTTACTAGTCTGCTGCTGTGAGCAGGATACCACACTGTAGCTTGGTTGACATTGCAATGACAACGTAACTTAAATGAACTTGTGTTGATTAGGCCTCAAAATAACCATCATTTATCAGCGGCTGGCTAGCTCAAGCTGTAAATCACAAATACACATGGACTTCCCGCTAATACACGCCTGTTCTCCAGGATCCGCAAATGGCAGCCAACTGCTCCCCAAGGGGATGGGTTAAAAGCAGATAGTGAATTTTGTTGTAATGACAATAAAAGCCTGTGGGGAAAAAAATACACAAAATAGTAAAATAAAAAAGGCAAAATCATTTCAAAAATATTCATGAGAAATATCAATATATATATATATATTTTTAAATCTCCCTTTTGCCAATAGGGAGTGCTGCAGCACCCCCGCTTCCCAAGGCCATGGAGCCAATTCAGAGGTTTGTAAAGTGAGCTTCTCACAAGTGACAGTGGTCACCGCCAATCACACAAGAAAAGACGATGGGACAATCAGGAGCTTGTGGGAAATATAAACTCAGGGAAGCAGACTTCAGTTTCCGCTTGGTCCTAGTGCTCGACAGTTATCTGTGTACTTTAGCGTAACATTGTTTTTGGACAGTAAAACCTGCAGGGGACCAAAGCAGATGTTTGGAAAAGTGCAGGGGACATATCCTCCCCTCCCCCCTAAAAAACTCCTGTAAGGTCAACGACAAAATGAAACAGAATATCTACTTTTAACCCTGCAAGTCAGGGAATCCATGCAACCAGCTGGTTTTCGATTGATAGAAAACATTTGACCAATCTGATTGTGTTATCTGATTGAATTGTCTCTGCAAAGTGCCTTAAGATGATATGTGTGGTGAATTGGTGTTATAAATAAACTGATTTGAACTGAATTCACTGCTGTATTGCCTTACCATTACTGCTAAACTTCTTTCTGACCTGTCTGCTGTATTGCTGTCTGTCACTAATGATTATGAATGAATCAGTTCAGTTGATACTGCAGGTCATGCTGGTGTGAACCCCATCTAGGACCCCAAAGCTGAAGGAAGAGCTACAACTATCATTTACAGCCATCTTCATCTGGTCTCTGGATCAGCTCATCTGCATGCGCAAATGGCTGCGAGGCCTGCATCCCATAGGCAAAAGGGACAATGTGACATAAGAGCAACACATTTGAGTAGAAGAAGCAGAAAAGAAGGAAAAATAAATTAAGAGCCTATGTCTAAAACAAAAAGTTTAAACATGTATTTTGGGTCTGTGTGTAGAGGTGCAGTTGCACAACTTCAGTTGAATACTAAAGTAGAAATAGAAACCTATATCAGACGGGCTTTCTTATGTGATTATTATTCCTTCTCAATTAAGGCAATGTTAGAGCACCCCTTTGCAAATCTTTGCATTTGCATGATGTTTTCTTACCTGCTCTGAACACCTCTGCACCTCTGTGGAAGCAAAATGTGCCAACTAAAGGTGTGAAAATTCTAATTATATCCACCTGAACAGACCAGCATTGTGAATGCACCTTAACACACCTGTGATACCTTCACAGAAAAGCCAGAGTTATACAGAGATTAATTTTTGTCTTGTATTTGCAAGCAGTGGTAATGAAATAAAGGACAGTGAATATATATACAAACCTTCTTCACCGGTTTCTTTGAAAAAATCTTGGAAAATCAAGTGTTATTTTGTCTTTTACTTCACTGCTAGGGTCCACATTGATCTATCATTCTCATTTTCCTCTGAGCACAAGATGAATATGGTATGAAAGCAAATGGTCACCCTATTGCTCATCTATCACATTCGGTAATGCTGCTGTTAAAACTTTTAAGGAGGATTTCTAACTATGTCAGGATTATCCACGTATAAAAAAAACATTAGAAAAATAACAACCTTGTCAAATGTTAATCAACACTTTGAAGAAAAGAAGCACTGTAAGCACTATCTATAGCATTATCACAAAAGTTTCTCTTAGCATTGGATGATGAGGTATGCATATTCTATATAGATTCTCTAGAGATAATTTTATTAAAATTGTTTTTCAACCATGTCATTCCTTGGCCTCTTGGTGTAAAAGTTGAATCACAACTGCAACTGCATGGTCAGTATTTTTGGGCTTAACTTTTTTAAAGGACCTTTATGACCACAATTATTCAAAACACTAATCAACAAGAAACTGGTAAGCTTTGGATTAAGAAGATTGAAACTGACTGATTTTGTTTATGGATGCTAAATCTGTTTTCAAAGATAAAACAGTAACTTATAGTTACTATAAAGCTTATAGTTAGAGTGGCTCAGGCTATCCTGAGCTTTCTCTATATTTATGCTGTTATAGGCTTAGACTGCTGGAGGACATAGGGACCCCTACTTTATCATTCTGCTTCATTCTATCTCTTTTCTCCCACTCTGCAGAATCTGTTAGTTCAATCCCTAACGTTATGCTCTCTCTGCCTTTTCTCAGAGCAGCTTCACCTCATCTGTTCCTGTTTGGCTGTGACTCCATCCTGGGGAGAAATATCAGCTGTGCTGCTGCCATCAACACCTTTGTTTATAGATGTTGGAGATCGGCCTGTTTTTTCCAGTGTAGTCCTGTTTCTCTGACTGTGATTGGCTGGATGTGCTCTCTGGATGTGCTCTCATCCAGCCAGTCATGTTCATCCTCTGGCGTGGGAGCTGGCTCGGAGCTTGTCTGCCTGGCTGTGTGTTTCCTGGACGGGGCCATCTTTTACAGCTGCTTTTTGTATCTCTGCTTCTGTCTCTTTGAACCCCAGTCGGCCTCTGCAGCTGGCCGCTCACACTGAGCCTGGTTCTGCTGGAGGTTTCTTCCTGTTAAAAGGGAGTTTTTCCTCTCCTCTTTTGCTACATCATGCTTACTCTGAGGGATTGCATTCAAGTCAGTGAGTCAATGCAATCAACTGGTTTTCCTTTGATAGAAAGCTTTTAATCAATTTGACTGTATGATCTGGTGAACTGTAAAGTGCCTTGAGATGACATGTGTTATATAAATAAACTGAATTAACTGTGACCAAGGCCCTCAAACTCCTTTAAAG